CACACACACACACACACACACACACACACACACAAAGAGAGAGAGAGAGAGAGAGAGAGAGAGAGAGAGAGAGAGAGAGAGAGAGAGAGAGAGAGAGAGAGAGAGAGAGAGAGAGTCAGAACCAATTGCATCTACTCATTATACGGAATACTCAGTATGGACATTGGACACGGAATCAAATAGAGGGATACTCGTATCCCTCTAATCTAGTATCAGAGATATAGCCAGAGGAAGACAGAGAAAGAGAGAAAGAGAGAGAAAGAAAGAGAGAGAGAGAGAGAGAGAGAGAGAGAGAGCCTTGACTACTCTATCTATCTATCTATCTATCTATCTATCTATCTATCTATCTATCTATCTATCTACAGTCAAACCTTGTTGTATCGTCCCGTGCTGTACCGTCAGCCCAGCTAACATTCAGATTTTGTCCATGTACGAAAAGGAACGCCTATAAACATTGACACAGTATTTGCGTCTTCACACCGCCATCCGCCAACCGCTCACTGTTTGAATTGTATGGACTTTATCCATGTAAATTTGCCCCAATGAAATGGCCGCCTGATGTACACTATGCACAGTGCTCGGCACCCATGGTTGGCTGTTTGATCATCTTTTTGCCGCACACGTCTATGCAAGCTCGGCATTCTCTAGCGCTTGTTGTCGATTTGCTCCTGATAATGGAAACGACATTGTTTTAACCCTATCCATACGTCGAGTTTTACTACCGTATCCATACGTCAAGTTTTACTATCGTATCCATACGTCGAGTTTTACTATCGTATCCATACGTCGAGTTTTACTACCGTATCCATACGTCGAGTTTTACTATCGTATCCATACGTCGAGTTTTACTACCGTATCCATACGTCGAGTTTTACTACCGTATCCATACGTCGAGTTTTACTACCGTATCCATACGTCGTTGGTAACTTTGTGCCGCCACTTTCCAAAGAGGAAATTCACCCGTTAATCCGATCAGTACGCGTTGCGTAGAAGTCTGTCAACATGATTTTTTGAGAAATACTGAAAGTTTCAAAGAAATTTCAAAGAGTATTCTGAAATGTGAAGAATACAACCACGGGGGTACAAAATGACACCAGGGTGTACGGATAAGGGTTAAGGCTTTGGCAAATATCTTAAAACAAGACACTGGAATTAAACGTTATAGCCGCCTGCAGAAACTTCAAAGGAACGCATCACCTCGGCCTGTCGTTTAACAGACATCATTATGGCGCTCATATGACCTTATGCAGTTGCGAGCGCCGAAAAACCTCTACTAAAACTAAAAAGACATCATTAGCCCGATGACCAAAAGGCTACCGAGCGCCCGTGAACTTTTTATATGGTGAAGACTTACGCTCAATAAGTCTGCGTGAAAGGTTATCGGTGGCCCGAAGACTGGCGAATCATCATCATCATCCCGTGCCAGATTTGCGACAGACATCTGCAATAATGGTTTCCATTCATTCCTTTACCCGGATGCTCTCAAAAAGCGATCTATCTATCTATCTATCTATCTATCTATCTATCTATCTATCTATCTATCTATCTATCTATCTATCTATCTATCTATCTATCTATCTATCTATCTATC